TTGCCACTGCATGGGACTTTCCAGTCTGGGCAGGTCCTGTCACTTCGGTTGTCTTATCAGGCTGTCTCATCAGAGTCTGACACCCAGAGGAAGCTGCTAACTGAAATGTTGGTGGCTTGGGTTTGCTTCGGCCTAACACTTTATATTTTCAAATTATTTTCAGTTACACTTAGGTCAAAGAGAAATTTATTTTTCTGAAATAAAATGGATCATATATACATAATTAAAAATGTCTTTTGTGCTCTACTTACTACTAAAAGGATTTAAGCTAGTTTGTTATACAAGGTACAAATAATAATATGTGTAGAAATTTTGAGTCAACCAACTAAAGAGTTGTATTTAGGTAATCTATCTTAAGCAACATTATGTGGTTGAAAAAAAAATCTTTATAGGCTTTCCACTGAAATTACCTTTCCAGGGCTTTTTATCTCATAGATATTTATATTAATGATATAGCTGATTGTGATAGTTAAGGTTATATGTCAACTTGGCTGGGCCTGGTTTTGAGTGGCTGGGCAGCTGGTGGTAGTTATTCCCCATGGTGAGACTACCAATTAACTCCATGGGGGAATCTACCATGAGCAGCTGAGTAGCTGCTTTAGTGGTGTGGTCTGCTTCCCTTATGTAAGGAGTATATTTGTGAATGATCTCTAGCTTCCTGGCATGCTTGGACCCTGCGTGTAGCTGAGTCTTCATTTAGCAGCTTGCCATGCTCTGCTGATCTTTGGACTTTTAATGGACTTGAATCAATGGCCAGCTATGTGGTTTGGTAATATCGGGACTGTACCTTTTCACTTGTTGACTTTGGGTTTCTCAGCCTCAGCAGCCAGTAGCTGCCTGAGTGAAGAGATGCCTCTAGCTTCAATGGGATGGAAGCAAGAGGCAGAGCTGAAGCCCAATGTCGAGGGGCTTTCACCCAGCCCCCTAGAGCCTGGCACTTTGAACTTGGACTTCTAGCCTCCAAAATTGTAAGAGAATAAACTCCTGCTTGTTCGAGCCATTCCATTTGTGGTATATTTCTGTTAGCATGACTCTAGAGATAACCAAAACACTGATAATGGTTGTATAACAACCAAGAGGCATTTGGTTAATGCTTTTCTTGATCTCCAGCAAAAACGAAAAAGGGGCAGGAGGCGAGGTTAGGCCCCAAGCCTCCTAGAGCAAGGAAAGGGAGGGAGCAGGAGTGGCCTCAGGGACCTTAGGAGTGGCAGGATATCCAAGTAAAAAGGGGCGGGAGGCAAGGCAGGCCCCAAGCTCCCTAGAGCCAGGAAAATGAGGGAGCAGACAGGGACGACAGAGTGGCAGGTTCCAGGTAGGAATTAGGTAAGGGGAGGGTGCAGAGGTTTCCAACAGCTAAGGGACACAAATTTTTTGTCAGTTTGTCATCATGTGAGGCTTGTACATTGCTGTGAGGCTTGAGGCTGTGCCACTGGTGTTTCGGATAACAGCAGAGTTGCACATGGTGCACAGGTTTCAAAGCAGCTTACAGACTGACAGACTAGGAAGAAGGAGGGGGCCATCCACTTTTCAAAAATTGACCAGGGAAAACCTTATGCATAGAAGAGAAACACTGTCTAATACATTACTGGGCAACTTTATGAATAGCTTGGAAGCATTGTCCAACACAATGCAGGAAGATGAGCCCCTTGAATCAGAAGGCACTCAATATAGGATTGGGAAAGAGCTGCCTCATCAGAGTAGAACCAACCTTAATGATAAGGATAAAGTAAGTCTTTCAGGACTTCCATATGCTGAAGTGACATGACGCAAATTGAGGAGAAACAGATGCAAACATCCATTAATAATCAGAACAGGGAATGTACAAAGTATGAATTTAGGAAAATTGGAAGTTTTAAAAAGTGAAATGAAATGCATAAAGATTGCTATTTTAGGCATTATTGAGCTGAAATGGACTGGTTTTGGCCATTTTGAATCAGACCACCATATGATCTACTATGCCAGGAATGACGACACATTGAACAGCAATGGCATGGCATTCATCATCACAAAGGGAGTTTCAAGATCTGTCCTGAAGTACAATGCTGTCAGTGATAGGATAATATCCATACATATACAAAGAAGACCTGTTAATACTACTGTTATTCAAATGTATGCACCAACCACCAAAGCCAAAGATGAGGACATTGAACATTTTTATTGATTTCTCCAGTCCAAAATTGACTGAACGTGCAATGAAGATGTGTTGCTAATCACTGGTGATTGGAATGCAAAAGTTGGAAACAAAGAAGAATCACCAGTTTTTGGAAAATTTGGCCTTAGTGACAGAAGTAATGATGGAGATCGCATGATAGAATTTTGCAAGACCAATGACTTATTCATTGCAAATACCTTTTTCAACATCACAAACGGCGGCTATACATATGGACTTTGCCAGATGGAGTATACAGGAATCAGATTGATTACATCTGTGGCAAGAGGCAATGGAAAAGCTCAATGTCTTCAGCCAAAACAAGGCTAGGTGTTGATTGTGGAACAGACCGTAAACTGCTCATATGCAAGTTCTACTTGAAGTTGAAGACAATTAAAACAAGTCCCCGAGAGCCAAAATATGATCTTGAATATATCCCCCCTGAATTTAGAGACCATCTAAAGAATAAATTTGATGCATTGAACACCAGTCACCTAAAACCAGAAGAATAGTGGGATGGCATTAAGAACATCATCCATGAAGAAAGCAAGAGGTCATTAAAAAGATGAGAAAGAAAGAAAAGACCAAAGTGGATGTCAGAAGAGACTCTGAAACTTGCCCTTGAGCAAAGAGTAGCTAAAGCAAATGGAAGAAATGACAAGATAAAAGAGCTGAACAGAAGATTTCAAAGAGCAGGTTGAGCAGACAAAGCCAGTTACTATAAGGAAATGGGCAAAGATCTGGAGTTAGAAAACCAAAAGAGAAGAACATGCTTGGCATTTCTCAAACTGAAAGAAGTGAGGAAAATAGTTAAGCCTCAAGTTGCAATATTGAAAGATTCTATGGGCAAAATATTGAATGATGCACGAAGCATCAAAAGAAGATGGAAGGAATACACAGTCACGGTACCAAAAAGAACTGGTCGATATTCATCCATTTTAGGAGGTGGCATATGTTCAAGAACCAATGGTATTGAAGGAAGAAGTCGAAGCTGCACTGAAAGACTTGGTAAAGAACAAAGCTCCAGGAATTGACAGAATACCCACTGAGATGTTTCAATAAACAGATGCCGTGCTGAAGGCACTGACTTGATTATGCCAATAGATTTGGAAGACAGCTACCTGGCCAACTGACTGGAAGAGATCCATATTTGTACCCATTCCAAAGCAAGGTGATCCCACAGAATGTGGAAATTATCAAATAATATCTTTAATATCGTATGCAAGTAAAATCTTACTGAAGATAATTCAAAAATGGTTGCAGCAGTATATTGACAGAGAACTTCCAGAAATACAAGCTGGTTTCAGATGTGGATATGGAACGAGGGATATCATTGCTGATGTCAGATGGATCTTGGCTCAAAGCAAAGAATACCAGAAAGATGTTTACTTGTGTTTTATTGAGTATGCAAAAGCATTCCATTGGGTGGATCATAACAAATTGTGGATAACATTGGGAAGAATGGGAATTCCAGAACACTTAATTGTACTCATAAGGAACCTGTACATAGACCAGGAGGCTGTCATTCAAACAGAGAAACGGAAAACTGCATGGTTTATAATCAAGAGGGGAGTGTCAGGGTTGTATCCTTTTGCCATATTTATTCAATCTGTATGCTCAGCAAAATAATCTGGAGGCTGGACCGTATGAAGAAGAATATAGCATCAGGTTTGGAGGAAGATCATTAACAACATGTCATGTGCTGACGACACAACTTTGCTTGCTGAAAGTAAGGATGACTTGAAGTACTTACTGATGAAGATTGAAGACTACAGTCCGCAGTATGGATTACATCTCAATAAAAATAAAACAAAAATCCTCACAACCCTACCTATAAGCAGCATTATGATAAATGGAGAAAAGATTGAAATTGTCAGACTTCACATTGCTTGGTTCTATAATACACCAATGAAAGTAGCTGTCAGGACATCAGATGACGTATAGCACTAGGCACATCAGCTGTGAAGGACCTCTTTCAAACGCTGAAGAGCAAAGATATCTATCTCCTTGAGGACGAAGGTGCACCTTACACAAGCTATGGTATTTTCAGTCACCTCGTATGCATTTGAGAGCTGGACAGTGAATAAGGAGGACCAAAGAAGGGTTGATGCTTTTGAGCTGTAGTGTTGGCAAAGAATGCTGATAGTACCGTGGACTGCTAGAAAGACTAACAGGTCTGTCCTGGAGGAAGTGCAGCCAGAATGTTCCTCGGAGGTGAGAGTGGCCAAACTTTGTGTCACCTACTTTGGTCATGTTGATAGAATGGACCCTTCCCTGGAGAAGGATGTCATCCTTGGTAAGGTGGAGGGTCAACCTTACCAAGGAGGGGAGGGCCCTCAGTGAGATGGGTTGACATGGTGACAGCGCCATGGGCTCAACTATAGCAAGAGTCATGGAGCTGGCTCAGGATCGGGCAGTGTTTCATTCTGCTGTGCATAGAGTCGCTGTGAGTCAGAGACGACTTGATGGCATTTAACAACAACAACAACAACCACAAAAACAAACAAGGAAACAAGTAAAGGAAGCTGTTGTTCTCTGAGTCCAGGCATGTGGCTTTCTAGAAATCTTATTTGATAAAGCAGCAAAACCTAGTCCTGGTAATTGTTTGATGTAACTGTGTTCTGGCTGTTGATTGAAAGAAGTTACCTGTGCTATAGATGCCACACACATAAGTTGAAAAATTATTCAGAGCCCAAGCACTGAATCCAGATTGTTCAGATTTATATCCTGGCTGTGCCAATTATTAGGTATCTGTCTTGTCTTTTCTTGGGCAGATTATGTGATCTCTTTGTGCTTTTGTTTCCGCAGCAGTAAAATGAAGTAGAATCCGTTTAGAGAGTTATTTTGAGAAATAAATAGGTTAATATGTTTAAATGGGTTAGAACACTAACTATAACAATGCAGATGCTCTAATGTTAAATGCAATTTTTTAATCATAATCATTATTTTTACACTACTTTACACTTCCATTTCACAAAAATATCTCCCTGAGCATTGAGGATAAGCTGAGGCATCCATACACAGTACTAAAAATTTCTCAAAAGTAAACTACAAATGATCAAACTACATTTTTAATGACATACATGGAACCTGAAAGCATGACTTTAGCTGGAAGGGCAGGAGATAATAGTGGATCACGTTGGCCACAGAGGAACCTCAGTGTGACTACTCTATGTTGTCTAACTTTGAACAGAGATGCATTTTGTGGTGGATTGCCAAAATAAAATAGTAGCAGCATATGCCCCAGATTTGCAAATGAGGTAAGTATTTTCACAGTATAGTTTACTGTCATCAGACAGATGCTAAATATGTTTGCCAAAAATGATTTTTGGTTTACCTGAGTTAATATGGAGCTATTCTTTCTGATTACCTGTGGCCAGTAGGCTCAGTAGCTTCTTGAGAATATTCTTGAAAACCAGTAGACATTCTAGCACTTTAGAGATTGATGCTGATGTTTCTATTCCCTATGATATAAAGAAATGCTAGTCTAGTTAATTAGCAAGCTTTATTCAAATAAACATTTATAAGTTCAAAAGGTAGGAAGATACTAATAAGCAAATATTGAAGATAAATTCAGCATGTTATCTCAAAGCAAATGACATTTACTCCATGAGAGAGCTTCTGTTTTTTCCTCTTTTTTATTTACCACTTGTGGCCAACAGGCTCAGTAGTTTCAACATGTCTGGCATGTAGTAGGTAGTCAAAAAATATTAGATGAATAAATAAATGAATACTAATCTTTTATTTGTTTTAGACATCTTCTCAGTTGAAGTTGGAGCTTAATTCAGTGCAGGGACAAGTCACACTGGCCCAAAATACATTGAAACAAAAAGAAAAAGAACAGCAACAACTTCAGGGGAACATAAATGAGCTAAAGCAATTGACCGAACAGAAGAAAAAGCAAATTGAAGCACTCCAAGGAGAAGTTAAAATTGCTGTTTCACAGAAGGTAATGATACATTCATTTACTTTTTATAAAAACACACTGCCATCGAGTTGGATCCAACTCATAGCGACCCCACCTTGGGTTTCCAAGGCAGTATCACTACAGATGTGGATTGCACAACCTTCCTTCCGAGGAGTGACTGGTGGGTTTGAACTGCCAGCCTTCTGGATAGCAGTCAAATGCCTTAGTATAAGCAAAAAAAAGAAAAGAAAAGAAAGCTTCACAATTAAGATAATAGGATGACCACACAGATGAATTGCAATGCAGAAAAGTTAATATATGCCAAAAATATTTTTAAGTCAAAATGTATAAAAACACTTTTTTATAGGATTACATGTCTAACTTTCGATTTCCAGATAATATAACCATATTGTCATATTATTCTTATTTAAACTTCTAGCACTATTTGCCTTTTTAGTTATACATCTACCTTTTTGTAAAGTAACATAGAACTAATCCTTTGAAATAATTTATGTAACATTTGTAGTGTATTTGAAAAATTTAAAGATATTTTGAACATACAAGATTTTTATTAAGGGAAGATAATTAAGAACAAAAATCACAAAATGGTATCTATTTAAAATAATCAGTACGATCAGGTCATACAGTTAAAATTGTTTGGTATTTTCAGTTACATCGTAATGGTTTCCATTTCCATACCTATTCTGATTTATTATTAAGGATCTATTCTTCATTCTTAAAAAGATTTAATACTAGTCCTAATCAAGAGTTGATTAAAATAGATTTCACTTCATATAAAATATTTGAATAAAGTGAGTTGTTTCCCCACTGTTGTTATGTGCATATTAATTAATTTGTGACACACATTAGCTTTATAACCACAGGGAAGTAATTAATTTTTTTAAGCATAATAAAATTTTGTCCTAGATTTGTTGTAAGTTTCAGAAAATGTATTTAAGGTACCTACTACTGTGCCCAGTGCAAATGTGTTGGATATTATATGGGAGAACAGCAAAGTATGATTTAGGAACTGTCAGTGTGGTGGGTCATGCAGTGGTGGTCCATGACAAATGAAATAGGGAACACAAGAATAATGTTTAAATAGGGGTAGATGTGTGTCTATACAAATACATATATACACACACACACATATAGAACACATAGGTGGATATAT